TCTCTCACACACACACCTTTTTCCGAGACAAGAGGGTGAACCGTAGTGATCAAGCACGAGGAGAGATTCAGAAGGAAGTTATGAGACAGGCCACCTTTCCGGGAAACTTTTTCCGAGAAAGGAACCCGTCAGAGGGAGTGGAGGGGGACGATTCCCCCATGGCTTATGCGGACACCCCCATTCCCGCCGCTCAGTCCAGGATCCGCTGCAATGAAAACGGACCCTAGGCGGGAGAAGGTTCAGATTCTCCTCCTTCTCGTAGCTCTAGCTGTCCTAGAGACTCTCTGGTTAAACTTGAAACTGACCACCTGAAACTTCAAGGTCGCATGGCGGTCAGAGGGGGGGGTCTAATTGATCGCAATTCGCGCCTTCATTCCTAACTCTGAATGATCTGCGGGGAGGGAAGAGGGGGAGGGGTGGAAGAGACTTTCCTTGATTTTTTTAATGCCCCAGCAAACTCCTGCGGAAGGAACCGGGGTCCGTCTGCAATGGGCAGCCGACCTGCGGGTCTTTGCCCCCCGCCCCAGGACTCCCACCGACCCACCCCTCCCGGCCCAGCGTCTTGCTGGCTTTGGCGTCGTACTAACTGCTTTGCTCAAAAAAACCCACCGCGCTCCTTTTCCCTGTGAAACACGTGGCCCCGAGTTTCAGAAGGCAGAGAAAAATCCAACGAGCTACTCCTCAAAAAACCCCACCGCGCTCCTTTTCCGCGTGAAACACGTGGCCCCGAGTTTCAGAACGCAGAGAAAAATCCAACGAGCCACACGGAGCATCTGCTTCGGGTTGCGGGGGGCGGGGGGGCGGCGGACGAGCGGGAACCCCCAAGAAGTCCGCCTAGAGGAGGAAGAAAGTCAGAGCGCTTGGCGCTCCTTCCTCGCCACCCTGGAGTTTCAGAAAGGTGTTCGATGGCACCGGGGAAACGTTCGGGGAAAGAAAGAATGGCCAGGGCGCCTGGACTGCCATTGGAGCTGGTGGCCAAGGGTGATCCAAGCAGGTGAAGCGCGCTGAAGGCAGGAAAGATGTCGCTGCGTGAGATCCAGACGTGTCGAGGGATGGTGGTGGTGGTGATCTTAGGTTTTGTCGATTTGAGGTTTTGCCGCTGATCTTCAAGGGAACGGGACATTGGAGGAAAAAGGAAACCTCGGAGAGCTGGTGTAGTCCTCTCCCCTAAGTGAGGACTGTAACACTTTTTCTCTCCTCCTTCTGGCTAGCTGAGTTTTCTCTTTTTGTGTGATCTCCCTTGGAGAAGTCAAAACCAAGAATTCAGGGGAGTGGACTTCGGGTCCGTTTTGGCAAGCTACCTTCAGTACCCCTGCTAAGGATCGGTGTAGATAGAGATGCTCATATGGCTTAAGAATTTAGGACTGGAGCCCTTAGCTCACTTCCTCCTCACCTCCTCTCCTTCGCCTGGTCAATTTCCATTCCCTCTTTCTGCTTTCCACTTTTAAGACCCGTGGAAAGTGGCTTTTGAGTATAATACGCTGAGGAAGGTTGCACTTTTAAAAGGAACTTCACAATTCACTCCACAATTAAGTCCTTCCGTGAAACTCCCTTTTTAGCTAGGAATGTGTTTAGGATGGCAGCCTCGGCCCCTTCCTTTTAAATGGGGTTTCTTTCCAAATTTGCACACTCCGTTCCTCGAACCTGACCCCTCTCTTTGCTGCAAAGCAGGACCTTCTTAAATGAACGCGATGAATACAAATACTGTAACTTAACTGTCCTGGATCTTGATCTCTTAGCCCTAAAGGCCCAACCGAGACGTTTTGTGCTTACAGTAGCGGCGTGTTTGTTAAGTCTCAGGGACAGAGGCGTGTCGCTCCTAAGCACTTCTTGTTATCTGGGATTATTTTAGCAAGCAATTGAATAACTTGGCCGAAGAACTGGATAGTCCGAGAACAGGATGAAACTCGCTTCCCAGGACTTAGATATCTAGAGATCCGGTCGGCCTCTAAGGGCTTGAGAAGTCATTCCGGAGTGTCACGAAAGAGAAGCAAATTGTGAATAACATAATTTATTCTTGTTTAATGGGGTTTTTTTTTCTTCCCAGGGAGAAGCAGCATTGATGGAGGGCTGTCTCAGGGGACAAAATAAGCTTTGTTTAAGTGCTAGGCACCTTTATATGGGCAGGGAGCAAAAATGCCTTGGATTGAGATGTCTCTCACTCACACACACACACACACACACACACACTCATTCACGGACCGTAGCAAACTCAATTGCACAGATTGCTGCGCGGGGGGAAGGGGGAAGGAGCGTTTCTAAGGCTGATCTCCAGAGTCACTCGTTTATTTCGGCTTAACTGTGCTAAGGATCATGCAAAAAGTCTATGTTGGATTCCTCCCGCGTGGGAAGCACAAGTTGGACGTTGAAGAGAGAGAGAGTGTGTGTGTGTGTGTGTGTGTGTTGGGTGTGTGTGTGTGTGTGTTTGTGTGCGCGCGCGCCCTAGGTCCCAGGCCTCTCTTTGTCAGGCTGGTTGTGGTTCCCGCCTCGAAGGTGCTCTGTGAACCCGGGCGGTCACCAGAACAAATGCTTCTTAAGCCGGATCGGCCGCTTGGGACCAGTCCGCGCAAAGCCCACCAAACACCTGGATGCTCATTGGGCTCTCTGTTTCCGGTCCCTTCCCACGAAATATTCCTTGATCCGATTCACAGGACAATCTTGGGCAGGTTTCCTTCGAAGCCTGTCCTGTCGCGACCCGGGGAACCGAACTCCCCTTGAGCCGAAAGGTCTCCAAAGCAACGCAGAGGGCCCTGTCATGGGTGTAAGATGTGAGCCGGCGGTGGAGTGGGGGCAGCCAATTTCGGAGTCAGAAAGCAGACTTTGAACCCTCTCCCCGTGCGTGTGCGTGTGTGTGTGTGGTTTCCCTGAGAATGAGGAATAGGGAGAGCAGGCGAGAAACTCTGTTGAGTTTTCGAAGTTACTCGTAAGGTGCCGCCCAAGACCCCACTTACCGAATCCCCGTGAAAAGTGCTGACGAAGGGCCTGACCGAGCGAAAGGCAGCGAGCGGCCTCTCTTCCCCGAAGTCCGCAGCCCCCCTTCCCCCCCCCCCGGCCTTTTTGCCTCCCTGCCAGAACTTTTGTCGCGACCGCAGCCAGGGGCTCCGGGCTCCCGATCCGGCCGCGCCGCGCTCTTCCGCCCGGTCGATTTCACTTTCGCCTTTCTGATCTAGGTCTCAGCGGCCGGGAAGCGAGCAGCGGGGCGGAGGGGGGGGACAAGCGAGGCGGTCGGGGCTCCAAACAGCCACCGGGCCCCGAAGACCTTCCTCCTCTCCAACCTCTTCTTTTTCTGCTTCTCTCTCCCTCCACCCTCGCCTTGCCTCTCACTCCCTTTTTGGGACGGCTTCGGGCGAGCCACCTTCGGCATCGATTTCTGAGATGACCCGAACCGTTCTGAGCGATCAGCCTGGCGTGAGTTTCAACACCCACCCAACACCCCACCAAACCAGTCTTTAAATCCAGTTCTGGATACGGGGCTCGTTCGGTTCTCCCCTCCCTCCCCATCTATTCTGTCGTGGGGATCCAACAGCTCACCCTGGGAGGGATCTTAAGATGGTGGCCTGGGCAAAACCAGGGTGCAGAGGCCACGCAGAGCCATGTGTGACTCCGGAAAGGCGGCCTCTCTTGAGGTGGATCTGCTGGCTGGGCTGTTTGGAGACGGCGGGGTTGGGGGGGGGTGTTAGGTGCGGTAGACCCACCTCGCCACCCACCTCTGCAACCTCCCAGCCTCCCTGGCAAAGGCCGCGTGTGACCATTTTTCTCCACCAGTGGCTTGAGGGAACTTGAGCTTTCACTTCTTTTGGAGAGATCAGTTGCTTTTCGCCTTGGGTTTGGTTGTAGGACGGGAGATCTCTGACGGACAGATCTTCCTGTTTATGTTCCA